TATATATATATGTATATATATATATATATATGTATATATATATGTATATATATATATATATATATATATATATTATTTATTATATAATATATATATATATATATATATATATGTATATATATATATATATATATATATATATATATACATATATTTATATATATATATATATATATATATATATATATATATATATATATATATATATATATATATATATATATATATATATATATATATATATATATATATATATATATATATATATATAAATATATATATATATATATTATATGTATACAGTCTTTCACAGAAAGACATGCGACCGCATGTATTTATATGACCAGGCAAATACATTTTGCTATGACGATTTGACCGGGGCTATTTCAAAAAACAATTTAAAAACGCGCTGAATAAAAAATATTCTTAATTACACTTTCAGTGAAATAACTTACAAACTTTGAACAACTGTTTTATATTAGCAAAACACTTTTTAATAAAATAACAATTTACTGATGTGTTTTTTTTAAGCATAATTGACAGTTGTATAAATTTTTTTAATTTACTATATATAAATTGTTTAAGTGTGCATTTTTTGTAATAAATGTTACTAAAAAATAAAAAAATTGTTTTGTTTTTATAAACGATGAAATTCTACGACAAAGAAAGTTTTTTAGTGAATTTTAATATAAGAATAATCAAAGATAATACATTTGATAAGATAAACAAAATTTCATTGAAAAAAGAAGACAAATATTTTAAAAAGCCATTACATATAAATAAGTTTGATCTTAAACGCTTTTATATTATCTGAGCGCTTTATAATGAAGTAACAAAATACTTCTAATGAATTTTTATAATTGTTATTGTTTTTAATTTAAACTGTTTTTTTTTGTTTTTTTTTCGCTTGTATAACTATGTGTTTTTTATGATAAATGTTAAAGTTCAGATGATTTTAATGTTTTGAAAAGATTAATTGCAAATTAAGATATCCAATACATTTCTTTTGTATGCATGAATTTAATCTTTACAGTTTTGGGATCTTTCATAAATCACACAACCCTAAATTTCACCAATAAACAAAAAAAAAGATAAGTTTTCTCTTGCAGAGCCTCAAGTCATAAAAAATTATTCCTTTTTTTAAAAGTAAAGACTTGCGTAATCTATAGACGATCCCTCATATGATATATATTACTACAATATTTTTTTTATATTATCATGAAACTTTTTAATGTTTCAATGTTTATTGCATAGCTTCTTGTTAGGTAAAACAGTTATCATTATTTGGCGGTAAAAATCTAGGTGATACATTTATAAATACTTTGCTAATTATAATAAATCTTATAATTTTTTTATATTCAAAAAAACGTTTGAGTTTCAGTTTTTATGTTTAACAGTGCGGCATTTATCATCTTTTTTATATATGTAGACTGCCAACAGACACTATTTTGTCAGAATACAGCATGAATGGTCTAAAGAAGAAAAAAAGTTTAAAGAGTTAACAAGTCTATGTAATGTTGTCACTGGTGTTCTTATTAGCTTATTAAGGTGGTACTAAAGCTATTATTAAAATGTTAAACAATGTATTAAAAAGTTGCAAGTTAGAAGTTTTATATATAAAAAACTAAAATATATAAATTTTGAAATAATTTGTAAACGAAATATTTTTTTGCCTTGTTTATCCAAATCTAAAAACACATAAAAAAAAAAAAAAATGCAGAATGCAATATCTCAAGATAAAGTAATTTACTTGCTCCAAAACTTTACAATAACATAGGTCCCAAAATAATGTAGGAGTTGTACTTGAATCATCTATTGTAAGCATATACTTTAGGAGTAAAGTTTACTCCTAAACTGTATGATACATCTAGTGTATGGAACATGAAATGTATTCAAGAGTATTTTATTTTATGACCTTATTGAAATATGTGTTGCTGTTTTTATTAGAAGCTGCTTTAAAGTCAAACAATAACTTAGCCAAAAAGGATGCCATACAACTTAGTAGTAGAGTAAAAAAACTCGGATTTGATTTATAATATAAACCATGTTTAAAGCTATATGTTGTTGTCAGTTTTATGCTCTATCTTGTGCACTTACTTTTCATTCGTTCTTGATGTAACAACTGCCTTATTTGGAATTTATATTGTTTTAAGCGAGTTATTAAAGTTTTTTTTAAAAATTTCATTTAAGTTTTGAGTAAATATTCTTTTGAAATTTTTAAAGTTAAGTGTGAGAATTTTGAATTAATCTATTACTATTTTATTTATTATTTTCATAAAATAAACCGTTCTGTTAGCTATTTCAGTGACTGGTTAAGTGAAAAGAAGATCAAATTTCAAAAAACAAACGCAAAAATTTTTTTATAATTTAGTAAACAAACGCAAAAATCAAAATAAAAAACATCATAAAAAACGCGAAAAAAACACATATATGCTTACATAATATTTAAACAAAAGCTCTAAGTGTTAAATCTTTAAGCAAACATAAATAAATACTTGAGTTAGAGAAAGGAAAGGCTACAATTGCCTTTTTTTTTTTTTTTTAATTTTAATTCACCTCCTCAAGGCCGAGAAGGCCACTACAGACGAGGAGGCTACTTATTTGTGGTTATAACCCTCTCTCAACTCTATAACTCCGAAACACGAACCTTGACGAGCGCGGTACTACCAGGTACGTGGTGGGAATCGAACTCGGTAACACTCGTTTATGAAGCAAGCGCTCTGCCACTACACCACTACCGCCTTTATCACAGGATTTAGATTTTAAAGTTTTTAAATGTTGAGAATAAAAAATATTTGTACAAACTTGAAAAAGGCTTGAAAAAGGATGTGTTTTAGTACTGAGGTAATCTTTCCTTTAAAAAGCATCGTTTGAAAAAACGAGTCCGCGGCAATTTTTTTAAACAAAAGTGGTCTCAAGATATTTATAATATTTAAGTGAAGCCAAAGAAAGCATAGTACTTTCTACATATGTCTGGAAAGAGGTTGAGTAACATTAATTGATGCAACAAACTTCAAGTTGCTTGCTTAACTGTACAAAACGATATAAGAGAGTGAAGTTTATAAAAATATAATGATTTTGATCAAACGCCAAATGTTTTCTATAGCGCTGCGGAATCGCTAACTATTGGTATTGTTCAATGTAAATAAATACGTTTTAGATAAATAGACTCGTAAGCAATGTTGATACAACATATTGTTATGTTATTTGTAGTCTAACAACACATCTTTTACAAATATATATGTATATATATATATATATATATATATATATATATATATATATATATATATATACATATATATATATATATATATATATATATATATATATATATATATATATATATATATATATATATATATATATATATATATATATATATATATATATATATATATATATATATAACGACTTTTAAGATGGATGCGAAAAAGATGGATGCACAGAAAACGCAAATACTCTAGTTTATATCAATTTAAATTTGATTTTACCACTGATGGGCCAGTATAGTCCCAATATCTGTTGATCTGCTTTGGCAAATCTTTGTTGGACCATTAATGATTTCTTTGCGGCTACCCTGCTCAGCCAATTTTATAAAGGCTCGGCAAGTTTTACTTTGTTTTTAAAACAAAACAAAACTTGTTTTGTCTCACACTAGTTTTTACAAAAGTTAACTTGTTTATGTTTTTATAATGGTTTTGTAATTAAACCATGTTTTTTACCATTTCACCTTGTTTTGTAATGTTCCGTTGTGAGACGCAAGTGCATAATTTTATCAGTGGACCAAGTTTAATTTTAATGATATAAGGTATTAAAAGTTATAGCGTTAAATTTTTTCTTGTAGCTAATGATTTTGAGGTCATAAATTCCACCGCTGTGTTTAAATAAGTGCATTTAAGCCATAGTGCAGCTGTTTGCACGCTTGCCTCATAAACTAGAGATCCGTTGTTTAACAACATAGGTAAGGAAGGAGGCGTAAACTGCCTTTCAAATGGTCTTTCGCGGTGTTCTGTAATAAGGTGCCTCCAAGATGTCCTTAAGGACATCTTGGGGCACCTTAGATAAAAAAATTAAAAAAAAAGTCTTACTCGCCACAATCTTGCTACGTCACTTTTGACTTTATAAACCAACCTATTAAAAAATAAGATGGTGGGGGTAATCCGTATAAAGTACCGTTTCCCAAAAATAAGAATAAAAAGTCCCTTAAAAACTAAAAATTACCCGATTGAATTGTGTCAAATACCCAACTAGCCAATCAAAAATGTCAAAAAATCTTTAACATAAAAAAACCTTCTTTGAGGGGGTAAAACATTTTCTTACTCAACCCTAAAATCGTTTTTGTATGCATCTGTGCGCATAAAAAATCTTAGTTACTTTAAAACACTCTACAAAAATTATACACAATAAAACTTATTAATCTAAGAAAGACTTTATTATTTGTAATTTTATAAATATTTAACATTACAGTTGAGAGAAGTTAAAGCTAAAAATATGTTAAACACAAGCTCAAAAGACAAGCTAACGTGAAAAACATCTACTTTTGTTGTTTTACAAAAGTAATGTAATTAAAAGTAAGTTTTTATGGTTGTTATATGTAAGTAACTTATATTAGCTTGAGCATTTTATTGATGTTTTTTTATTTAAATGCGCGATTCTTAAATTGATTATTAAAATTTGACTAAATTTTGAAATATTTAAAGAATGCTCAAATACTACTTTGAATTAAACACCTATTTTAGAAACAAAGAAATGATTTTTATAAAACTATATAACAACTATATTGAAAAAAAAATTTTGAAAATTTCCAGAAATTTTGAGTAAGATTTCTCGGAAATTATCAACTTTAATATTGAATAAACAATGAAATCTTTTTCTTAAAATTTAGTTAATCTAATTGCAATAAGATTAACTGTTTTCTAAGAAAAGGATTCCAATCTTTATTTGAGAATAGTTAAATGAAATAGCTTCTTGGAAAGTTTACAAAAGCCCTTCATTATTTATTTACTATGGAACAGAAACGAAATATGATACGGATTTTACTTTTTACCTTAAAGCATAAACACAAGTAGATAAATAAAATTGACATCACTTAATGTTAAGACGTATATAAAATGAATTTGTATCAGATAATATTCTTTATTCCTTGTGGTAAGTGTTTTCAAAGTTTTTCTATTTTTTTAGTTCGACGTTAATTTTTTTTCTAACTTTAATTCAACGTGTTTCTTAGCAACGTGTTTATTATGTTGGAACCAAATAAACAATTCTCTCAAATCAACCGTAAGCTGTGAGTTGTGCGCAGTTTCTCACATTGAATTTAAAAAGTATGGTGTTTCATTAAGTTCATCTGTGAAGATGTGTGCTTTAAATAACTCGGAATGCAATACAATATGTCGCGATGCTATTAACGTAATAGCAGTTATGGATCCTTTAGTAAGAGTCACTTCTTGCAAGGTTAGTCTTTTATTTTAAATAGTTATACATAATAATGCAAGCATTGTTATTTTTTTAAGTCTGGTATTTTTTTAACTTCAATCCTTCATAATTTTAACTCGTTAACTCGGAAAATAAATGAAAAATAAAAAAAAATATCTTTTTATTTTTATTTTTATTATTTTTTTTTGTTTTGTTTGCTATTGGTAAAACATAAATTTATTTATAGTTAACCCTGATAGTGGTCCTATTCAAAACTGAGAATGCTTGAAAGTTGTTGCCAATGTGACTAAAAGTTACAATGATAATATATTTTAACTATATACTTTTACTAGAAATCAATGGATATAACAATTATCTTTTAATAACTTTTTTTTTAATTTTTGTTCTCCATTTGATACAAATTGATTTAACTGCTATGTTCTTATGCATCTAATGTTTTATTCATTTATTTGTTTGTTTATTAAAAACAAAGTTAGAAACAATTACCCCTGCAACCCTATTGACCCCTGGTACCCCTGCAATCCTATTGACTATCCCTCCTCAAATTGAGGGAAAGGAGTTTAAACTAGAGGTATCACAAATAATAGGTGAATATTCGGTATTCGGCCTATTAGGATACTTATTATACTATTTGGCACTATTCTTTACTTTTTTTACTACTCGATATTCGGCCGTATATTGTATACTATTAAGTATAATATTGAGTAGCAGATTGTACCGAGGAAAACCAAAAACCACATTACGAATAACTATTTTATTTTTTTTATTTAAAAAAGTTAGTGGGATGTTTGAAACTTAAAATCTAAGATTATAGGTTACGATAAAAGCATTTTTATTGTTTTATGATAACAAATGGTTCCGAATTCCACATAAATTATCCATACTTTTAAAAGTAGCCATTTACTATGCACTTTACCACCGGCAAATAATAAAAAAGTTTAGCTAGTTTTGTTAGGATAATCTTTGGCGCTTGTTGACCATAACATATAAGAGCTTGTTATCCAATTTAAGCGAATAATTTTAGATAAAATTTTATTTCATTTGCAATCAAATTTTTTTTTCCACATCTTCATATATGCGCGTATTTTTTATAGAGATTGGTTTATTGGTATACAGGTTATCTTCACCGGTGCTACTAGACACCGGTGACGGTTTGTTAGAGTCAAGCACTCTATCTCTAAGAAGGCTTAACCTTTCACTAACTTAAATTTTCAAAAAGATCTTTTGAATCATTTTTTGCTTGTTTTGTTTTAACTTATCTTATGAAACTAGTTTTGAATCGTGTATCAACAAAAAAAGGCGTTTAATTGACATTTCTATTAAAGCTAAACTATGAATTAGGCCCACTAAAGTTCAGCTTATAATGAAGATATTAATTTTAATACGTTTAGAGTTCTCTGTGCCATATCTTTCAATAGTGACTTCTTAAATTAGCTCAGAAGTGCCAGATGTACTTGTGCTGGTTATTTTTGTAATCTTTTTAAATGGTTTGAAGGGTTGATACTTTTATAAATAACTATACTTTAAACAATTTAATGTAATAGTCATCAAGTAATGCGTGCTGTGACACGGCCTAGCCATAAATTTAACAAAAAATCCACAGTGTTGTTAATGTATTGACCTCAAAAAATCACGTCGAAACCTTCTAAATTAACTATATGTCACAGATTATTCGGAGCGCCTAGTTAAATATTCAGTCTTTGGGAAATTACCACTCGTGACTTCTCTAGTTCAAAACTTTATATGTTAATAATATTTAAACGCTAAAAAAATATTTTATCAATTTTAAAAATGAAAATAAAATTAGTTAAGTAGTTGCTACATGTTTAGAAGTTGCCCGTCTTATCATCTGCCGTAGGATAAGTTATACAGCGTGAAATATTTTTAATTCAATAAAAACATGGTAAAGAAAATATTTCAAATAAAGTTTTTGTTATATATTATATAACAATCTTATATATAAATATAATATATAAATAACTAAAAAATATATAAATAACTCTTTCAAATCACCAAGGCAACCAAAACGCTTTCTGAACTCTTGTGCACCAAATAAAACTTTTTGTAAAACATAAAGTAATACAAACTGAAAGTTATTTGGAGTGTTTGAACTTTTTTTTTGTAAGGTTATACCTAATTGAGTAACTGAAAATGCGGCAAATTTTTCTTTAACGTCTCATTCCAAAGTAGTTTCATGACTCTGATTTCAAAATGTGTATCTTTTCAAAATTTGATTAGAGTTTTTTTAGGGATTTGTTGTCTTTTTATTCCATGAACCTTTTTGTTCACATTTATCATAAGTATCAATGCCTTTATTTCAATCTTTTCATACTACAAAGTTTGATGTTTTTCACAAACTCTATGCTGTAGCTTCACCCTCTAAAATCTATAATATAGCATCACGCTCTTAAACCTATTTCGTGGCATCGCGCTCTAAAGCCTATGTTGCAGAATCACACTTTCAAATCCTAGCTTTATTTTTAAAATTTTATTTTTATGTAAAAACTTTACATTGCTAACAATATCCTTTAGAAAGTTCCATAAAAAAAATATAGAATTTTTTTATACAGTTTTTTATACAAAGAACATAAAATTAGCCTCAGTACAATTATAACTTCTGCAGTGTGGTTATCAACATTAAATCTAAACTAAAATTTCATTCAGTGGCCTTTTCCTTCAAAGCAATGTTTTAAATAAAAAAGATTGAGATAGTTGTTACAATAATAAAAAGGCTTAGTATCCTCGATTGAAGTGGTCCGCTTCTCCTTGATATAAAACTTCATAATACCGTTTAAAAACACAATTTTTTAATAAAAATATTATTTTTATTACATAACAAATATTTTAATTTATGTTGTATGTAATATTTTTTGAATTTAATTATTTAGGGAGCTTGTTGCGAAACTGATCTATGTAATAATGAAGATCTTCTTGACAACGTCCCTTATTACAACGATGCATCGCAAGGTACTGGATAACATTTTTAAGCTGGAAAATTTTTTGCGGAATTTTATTTGTTAGTTTTGCACAGAAATTTTTACTTTAGAAGGCTTATTTTGCAAAAAAAAACTTTGTAATAACAATGCAATGTCAAACAAAGTAATAATAATAAGAAGAAGAATGTATAAGATTTTTTTTTTTTTAATAGTTTTATTTTTTCTTTTAGTTTGATAATTTAGTAGATTTTTTTGCTAACAAATAACTTCATTAATGCACAAAAGAGTAATGTATCAATATTTATTGTTTTTGCTTAAGATTTTTTTTATCCCAAATTTAGACTTGCCAAGTGCATATATTTTTTTGTCAACACCTAACGAAAAAAGTTACACTGGGTTTCTATTGCGTGTTTAAATCCTTCTAAATCAAAAATAATAACATGTGCCCAGAATGGTTTATATTCTGTAAAATTAACTATTACTTTTTACCATAAATACCATTAAAATATTAATGTTTTCACCTTTAGGAAAACACAATATTTATTATAATAAATTTCTGTAAGGAATCTAAAACCACTGAAAAAAGCATGCGATATTAAAATTTGACATTACAAAATCAAAAATAATAAAAATAAAAATAAAGAAGTGGATGCTCAACGAAAACCGACAAGTCTTGTCACAGAAAACCGCTGCATTTGAATATAGAAAATAAAAATTGAAAATCACTGAACTACTATAGTTTACATCTATACACGCTACAGAGCGGCAAAGTCTCTAAATTTATAAGCCTAAAAAAGTCGAAGCTTTTGTTTCTGTATTTTTACTTATTGAAAAAATATGACTTTTATGATTGTTTATTAATAAGATCACAAGACTATCCCAAAAATACTTGCGTATGATTAGTTATGTGCTTTATTGTAACTAAAACGATTAAATTTACCATCTACCGTTTTCTTGAACTAAACCACACGTCTAAAAATGCTTAGTACTAATATTCTACTTAATAACAGGCCTCAAGGACGCGCGCGCGCAAAAAAAAAAACCTGAAGGCGGATGTTTTGTTAACAAATTAGTCGACTATAAAATTAAAATAAGCTACTAAAATGCTTGTTTACAAAAGATATGTAGTTGTTTTTTAAAAACAACGTTCTAGAAAATTGTAATTTTTATTTCACAAATCAAAAAACTTAAAAATATAAAGTTTTCTACCTTTAATAAGATTTTTTAAAAGACTGCTAAATAAAATAACTTTTTTTTAATAAAGTAAGTTATTTTTTCATTTTAATCTAACAAATTTCAATATATCCCAGACAGCAAGCTTACATTGGCCCAACGTAAGTTTTAACATTGGCAAGTTTATTCTGTTGGGTCAACATTTAGCCAACGTTTTTTTTCGACGTATTATTTTTAATTCTGCAAATCGGCTTTTTTCAAATATCTATATTGGGCCAACATTTAGCCAATGTAGTTTAGGCTCAACATTTTGCTATAAAAATCTGTTCTTACATTTATGCCGCAGCCAATATTTGGCCAATAAAAGTGCGGATAAGTATATGTTTTTAAATTTGTTGCAAAACATTTTTAAAAGTGGTATCGTTTGGCAGAATAAAAAAAGGGTTTGGTATAATCTTTCCATTTTTTTAAATTATAAAATAAAAAAAAAAGAAGCAATATTTATGAATCTTTTAAGAATCTAAAAAAGTTTCTTATAAGAAATAAATTTCGAGAGATTCTCGTGACTTAATGTTTTGCTTTTTTAAATAATGAAATATTTTTTGACATTTAAAAAATATGCTAAAAACACTTTTTACTACAATATAAATTATTAATGTTATAATAAAAACAATAACTAAATTATTTTTGTGTAAAATTTTAAAGTTATTTTTTTAATTTTTATTACTCTCTTTGCATTTTAAATGTTTTATTTATTTAATAATCTTTATTAAATAAATGTAACATTTCAAATGTTCTATTTATTTAATAAAGAAGACATTTTAAATTCTTCTTTATTAAATATATCAAACATTTGAAATGTCATACAGTATAAGTATTGAAAAAATTTTTTTTTTTTTATAATTTATTCATAATAGTTTAGATTATAAAGCTATTATAAGATATATTATTAAAGGTATCAATAATATATATGTGGCATTGAAGTTGTTAGAAGCTGATATTTTACATTTTAAGAATACTTAAAATGTAAAATTTTTTTCAATACTTATACTTTATGACATTTCAAATGTTTGATATATTTAATAAAAAAGAATTTAAAATGTGTTCTTTATTCTTTATAATCAAACAAAAAAGACATATATGTCTTTTTTGTTTGATTTTTTCTGTGTTTGGTTGTGAAACTCCATCTACTAACATATTAAAACAGAGTACAAAAAATATTGTTACTAGAATTTATATTCTACTTATGTAGAGCTTTCTAATATTGCCAGACATTTTGTTTTAAGACCAACAACTAGTCTATAATAATTGATGGAATTATGAAATTAAATCTATAAATAATCATTAACAATAATTAAAATAAAAAAACTCAATTTAAATCATTATTTTTATATGTCTGATTTAAATCATGATTTAAATCAAAACAACCCTTTATATATTCCATCTTTATGAGGCAGAGGGACATTATTCTTGGTTTTATTATTTTTTAATTTAATATCTCTGGATATTTTTCATATTTAGTTTGCGTACAACAGTTAACAGCTTTAAGCTAATACATTAACTTTAGTTATAATTTAATTATTAATGATTTGATTTATAGATTTTTATAGCAATACAAGGTTGAATTTAGTAGAAGGCTAAACTTCTGCTATAGAGACAAAATTGAACTGCCAAAATAAATATTAAAGAGAAGAAAAATTGTGTATATCTTGGTGTGGATGATTTTTCCTTAATTTCTTATAATAAAACAAAATATGTTATTAAACTTTGGGATTTACCTGTAACTCCAAACTCTTTACAGAAGTTCAATGTTTGCTCTGAGAAGTTGAATGAACAAAATTTATTAAATGGTAAGTTTTTATATAAAAGTCTTTATGTCTGATGATTGAAATTCTTTATTCATAGCTTAAACTTTAAAAAATTAAAGACTTTTTCTTATATTATGGTCAAAAAGTCAGAGTGTTAATATTTTTTTGTATAATAATCGAGTATAATATCAAAGCTTATATCACAGGCTTGGTTGGAAGCAGGAGCAATCGCTCTTGAATACTGACCACCAAAATTATATTTAGTTGCGAAAAACTGGCTAGGTGTTTTAGTCATTTTGAGAACATTTAAGTTTATGGACGTAACAAAATTTTTTTGTTGGATTTCAAAGTTGGTGTACAAACTTTGAAATCCATTTTAAATCAACAGTTGAAAAAAACAACAGTGTATTTTTATAATAAACATTTATTTAAATTTATCTAATAGACGAGGTTAATACAATATTTTTATAGAAGATATTATTTTTAAAAATTGTATTATTAAAATTCAGCACTAAAATATGTAAAAAAAATTATTTACAAACATTGGACAAGGTTCTTACTGTACCTTGAAAATCTGGAGAATTTGTTAATATTGGTTAAAGTCGTGGAAAACCTGGAAAAGTCAGGGAATTATTTTTTTCTTTAGATAGTCATGGAAAAATCAGTAATTCTAGTTAAGAAGTTACTCATTTCACAATCGAATGCTGTATTTTAAAAACGTGATGAGTCACACTTTTTTTAAAAGTGAGGTTATTTGAAAATAGTATTTTTTTTTAGGAAAAGATAAAATTATAAGATAAAATAAAGATTTTTTTAGATAAAATAAAGCTTTTTTTTAGATAAAAGAAACAATTTTTAGATAAAATAAAGATAAAATTTTTTACAGAAGAAATGCTTTTCACTCTCCTGTAAAATTTTAATTTTGTGACTTGTCACATTTTCAAAATTCAGCGCTCAATTAAGCTATTAGGTTTTTTTTTGTGCTATCCATTTATTATTTCTGAAACTTATGTTTTTCTTAGTGTTAATTATTAGTCATCATTGAAGTGCAACTTGATGAACTACAAAACACATCAAATTCAGTAAAAAAGGTATGCTAATTATTGTATTGCCTGAAAGAGTGTTATTGCTTTTAAAAGCAGTGAAGAATTCAAGTACTCTAGAAGAAAAGAAGATAAGAAAATTCATAGGTAAATGGTAAATATTTTTTTATGATCTTTTTATGCATTTTGTAGGACATCTTAGTGCAATTTATATACTTTAAATAAAATACTCATTGAAGATATTTTGTAAATGACATTTTATATTCATAAGTCTAAACAAAAGTTACTTTAATTATTGCCAGGTTGTGTATTTTTGCAGATCAATTATATTGCACAAATTAGAGTTAAAGACAAGGCAGATTGTATATATTGTTTACTAAGAATAGTTTTTTAAAATGGCCTTAATGTAAAATTAAACTATGCAGGGAGAGGAAAAAAAATTGGAATAGGAAAAATGTTGATATTATATGTTGCTATTAGTAAGTGGTTTAGAAAAGTTTATTTTTTCAGTTTCAATTTTGCATTACAGAATTACTTTTAATTTGTTATGTTTCTTTGGTGCAAAATTAAACAAACAACTTTTTTTTTTTTGCAGAAACTGTGAAGTCAAATAAGTATGGCTTATGCAGACTTGATAATGATAGCGGGAAAAAAAAAAATAATCGTTGGCACCAAAATTCATAAGCTAAATACGATTTAATAGCAGGTAGCTCAGCCAAAATCAAAACTACTTTAATAAAAATTTTATAGTGATTTTTTTTTTATTTAAAACTCAATGTGTTAGTTTTTGGTTTAAGTTTGGTGTTTGCAATATGTATATTTAACCGAGAAGTTATGTTAAATAAATAAGTTTTTATACTTGTATCATACATTCTTTTTTTTCTCTATAAATTTTAAATGTAGCAATGCAAATCATCTTATTTGAAACAACAATTTAATGTTGCATAAAACGTTAGGTCGATATATAACATACAATATTGGGCCAATGTTGTATACAACGTTAGGCCAATTTTGTATATGACGTTGGGCCAATGTTGGGTAATCATTGTATGCAACATTGGGCCAATTTTGTACACAACGTTGGGGCAATACCTAACCAATGATTAAACCTGCATTTTGTGCCAACATCGACTGTCTACGTTGGGCCAATGCATCATCATGCATTGGCTCAACGTTGGTCCAATGTAAGCTTGCTGTCTGGGATTGCTATCTATGTTTTCAAAACCATAAAATTCTGCTATCATCATTGTTATATTAATAAGACTTGTCCGACA